GGAAAATGGAAGATTCAAGAAAGAGAATAGCTGAGAAAGGTAGTAAGATGTCGTTGCTGTATCGATCCTCTCAGAAAGAAGCATCTAAGCAAGGTAAATGACAAGGGTAATGAAATGCAGTAGTGTTGTGACTTAGAATTTGGTGGTGGTGAGTGTGACGTATACTTAAACTTTAGCGCTTTGGTTCGAAGAATCGACGATAAATACATCCAAAGAAAGAGCGAAAGAARAAAGACAATCGAGAGAGAACAAAGATAAAGTAAAACAAGTGGACCGACTGAGGGAGAGAAAGAGAAACAGAGAAACAAAGAAATAAGAAAAGAAAAAGAAAAAAAAAGAAAGAAAGATATCGTGAGGATAAAGTAAAAAATGATTGAGAAATAAAAGAAAAAAAAAAAAAAAGGAAAAAAAAGAAAGAAAGATATCGTGAGGATAAAGTAAAAAATGATTGAGAAATAAGTAAATAGAAAAAAGAGAATAAAAAGAGAAAGAGAAAAATAGCGAAAAGAATTATTATTCTATAGTCAACCAAACCAAGGATGTATTTTAAGAAACAAGCGGTTCTCTRTATTTCCAGGTACTGACTCCACAGACCAAGCGATACCGATTTGTCCCAGCATAGTAACTAGTGATTGGAAATCAGTTCTTCGACCAATAAGCTACCACGATCAAGTCAACATGATAAGATCATTGACAGACCTCAAAAACAGGAAAAACAGGCAGCCACTCACGACAGTCTACGTTCGTTGGCAAGAAAATAAAACTGGCTTTACCTACTCGCAGAGCCATCTTGAATACATTTTTAGTCATTTCGGCGAAGTTATCAATGTGAGTCCACAAAGCCTCTGTAGTGCGCATGTCACGTTCAACTCCATCGTGGGCGCATGTCGCGCAATATCAATGAAAAAGATAGGAGTAGAACGATATCCATTACACGTGTGCTGGTTACCTAAGGCGTGGCAGAATAGATACTGGGTAAAGAAAGAGACAATCCCCAAGACATTTGTTATAACAAACCAGGCRAGTCCAATCAAGAGACCCATATCACATCCCAATCAGGTTCATTGTAGTTACTATGTATKCTCAGTCAAGGGTTGTCCTAATAAGGTAGTCTTTCAGTTTTAACCTTAGAAAAAACTTAGACCTCTTACATGTGACGTCAAAGCAGCTCAATTTGGAGGACAAAACAAAAGAATTCCAATCTCCTGAGAATTGGAAACCTATTGTTATGTCCTCCAAATTGAGCTGCATTCTGACGTGCTGCAAAGGGGACTATTGGACATTTCGAAGTATAAAAAGTAAAAATAATAATAGAAATATATATCGATAGAAAGTAGAAATATATTTGACCTATGAAACTTTGAATGAAAATTTAAATGACTTACCTGGTTTCATACACACAGGAGAAAAAAAACAGATTTCCAAATTGGGAATTTGTTGGGAATTTCCATGAATTCCCAACCAATTCCCATCCAATTCCCAGACAGAACGAAATTGGGAATGTGGCACCGATTCCCAATGTTAGTTTGTTGGGAATTTTGTTTTTCTATTGGGTATTAGAAGGAAATTCCCAACAATAAATCCCAACGTTGGTGTTCGAATTGGGAATTCAAGGAAATCCCCAACAATTCTCAATTTGGGAATCCGTTTTTTTTCCTGCGACACCAAATCGAGATATGGCGACCAATGTCAATAACTATTGTTCTGGACTGACCAGTCTCGTGTTAATGTGGAAACAAAGGCGTTTTTACATGTTCAAGAAGCTAGTCATTCCAGAACAAGTTTTTAAAATTGGTCGCSATATTTCGATTCAGTATATGGRCCTGYGTTTTCTCATGGTCAGCAATATAATGCGCAACAATTTGCTGACCGAAAGGAACGTGGGCTCTAGGAAAAAGAATACTTTTTTTTATTGCGCATGCCCAGGAGAAATAGCTGTTTTTTAATCTTGTTCCCAGAGCCCACGTTCCCTATAGTCMGCAGTAAAGGAGACGTGCTGACCATCGCAGGGTCTCCGAGATGTGAGACGACATGATYCGTTTTTAAACATAGAGGGTTCTTACCTTGACAAGGTAAAATCCTGATCTGCGATATTCTGGGTCATTCCAACGACGCACCGCGWGCAATGTCTGAAAAATAACTTAATCAAGAAGAACGTTTTATCATAAAGGGAGGAATGATTGTCAAGCGAATCATCACAGCTCACTTTCGCCCGGTGTTTGTAACKGACTACTTCGACGATACGGCTGCCATCTTGGATCGCAAGGCAACGTTGGCGTCCAGGGGGCACAGTAAAGCTTTGTTACAGTAATGACGTCGATTGATATTAACAGCTCACCACCAGAGAATACAACAAAAGATGAATTAAAACGGCTCATCGCGAATCAACTTTACCCATAAAAAGTAAAAACTAATGTATTTTCCGTCATCTTTGTTTTGTTTTGTCCCATGGCAAGATGGCCGCCGTATYGTCGAAGTAGTCTACAAAAGTGGAGCCCTTTCGATGTAAAAAGATACTGAAATAGGAAGGCCTGTACAATTTCACYATTTTACGACAATATGAATAAGCTGCCTAAACACGCCTCCAACAGAAAGTTGATAGCCATTCTTGTCATTACAGGCCCAGTCAAGTTGTTTCGAGAGCGCGCAAGAAGCGA